GCCCTGCCCAGAATCATGCAGGCTCCTCTTTCAAACCTTCTGCAAAGCTTCCCTTCCTTGTCTCCTGCATCATGTGTAGGTCTTACCTTTCTAAACCTGCAGGGGTCAGATTTGATTCTCTTTCATCATCGCATTTTCCACCAGACCCAACACCAACAAATATATTTACTGAGTAAATGCATAAATAAGGGAATAAATAATAAGCTGCAGAAGGTTTTGTTTTATTATATAAAGTAGCAGAAACACATGGAAGCATTTAACAAAGTTGATATATAAAATTCATATATTATAAAATAACTCAAACAACTGAGATGTATAATATCTGAGTAGAAGTGTAATGACACATCGACTATTTTGGGGTGAATAGTAGTGGAAACACCACTCTCTAAAAAGTGTAATTCTAAAAAATAATAATAATAATAACATTTTTCAGATACAGTCAAAACAAGAATCATTCAGCAAACAACAAAATAGACCACAACCAATTATGCCTAAATTTTTTTTGCAAGGAAAACAGTTTAGTAAGTAATTTGGGGTTAGGACTTAACATAGTAATTGCTGAGTCTCTCTTACAGGAGACCGAGGTTAAGATTATTCGCTGGAACTAAGGGAGAGAGAGACTGTGCACGTGGGGAAGAAGTGGGGGTAGTGGGCCAGGGGACTCGTGTTCTCAACTAGCTGTCTGCCCCTTGCATCCACTTCCAAGAATGTGTCTACCAAGACCATGTTTCATGTAGTCGATAATAAGAATCTATGGTCTAGGTCTGTGGCGAGGATTAAATGAGTTATGCAGGTGAAGCTCAGTGTCTGGAATATTGGAATCGCTGTAGAAGGGGTAGGTGCTAGGCATGTTGCCCTTCCGGTCCTTGTCTCCCCTGCCAGGCTGCCAAGTGCAGGTGGTGATGAGTCACACACAGTAGTCCACGTGGCCCTAGGGCATAATCCCCCATCAGTGCCTTGCCGCGCACTTCAAGTTGCCACGTGGAACTGAACACAGTGATGGGCTCTTAAATCCTAATTAATTTTTCTGGGCTAAGCCTCATAAAGGATTTAAAACCACAAACCAGTGTTTTACAACAGTGAATCAAAATCCTTACCTAAAATCTGTTTCACTGTTTAGACCTGATTATAAAAAAGTGTTTAAAAGAAAGAATAATTGCCCTTATTGAGTACCTGCTTGGTGCCAGGTACTCTCCATGCTGTTCCCATTTTGTTCTTCCCCGAGTCCTACTAAGTAGTTGGTGAAGGGACCAAGAATTTAAGGAACTTGTCTGAGATTATATACAGCTTGTAACTAACTGGCAGAGAGTCCATTTGAACCCAGGTGTGTGTACCCCAGACTCGCACCCTGCTCCGCCGCACGCCCTCCTGTAATGGCAGGCAGAACATATATGCGAGGTGCTTGTGGTAATTCCTCACTTAGCATCACCAGTAGTCTCTGTGACGTTAAGTGAGACAACCTATAACAAAACCGATTGTATGTAGGCTAATTGATATAAACAAGAGTTTCTATGACATCTCATCAACTTAATAACATGATATTGAATGAAAAGACGTTACTAGAGGAACTGTTGTACAATAAACATTTTTCTTCAGTGTCTTATTTATACATAAAAATTACACTAACCGGTTGTTTTCATAAAACCTGAAGGCAATTAGCCAAGCGTTTGTTTTTGATTACAGAGGACCCATTTAATGAAAACAAACGACTAAAGCTGTCAGTGTTTAAAGCATGGTAGTTGGGGAGAGTGGGAAGCACAAGAAGCTGCGATAGCAATGTGAAGTCAGGTCCACAATTTTAGAAGCTTGATTCTTGGCTGGTTCTCTTATCTGTAATTATAGAGTGGGGAAGAAATGACAAGCCACCTTTTTGCCTCCAAGTGATTCCATTTCTATTTATAAAGTCTGAGTTATAGTTGAAGGGTTTAGGAATGTTTTAAGCTTAAGTGAACTCTAGAAGGATAGTCTCTCAACCCGTTTCAACCAGAACACTCTTCTTATCTCATACATTGGGTCTTCATGTGAGCTTTCCTTTGGAAAAAGAGGTTTAAATTAATGACAGTTGCCATTTTCTACAGTACACATTCCATGTGTGTTGAGGTTTACTTGGGACTTAGGAAAGCACGGTGTTCTTCACTTGCCACCAGAGCCCTAAGTAACATCTGCAGACTCGGAAAACCGTGTTTCCGTACTTCCACACAGTCACGCGTCCAGTGCTGTCCGGGCCGCCAGGCCTCGGGGCTTCCCTGTACACTCGTGCAGACCCTGCGCCGCACAATTCAGAGCGAACCAGTCTGGTCAACATGTTCATTACAAGAAGGTTCCTGCCGGCACAGTCAGGCGTTTTGAGGACGAGACCTCCCTTTTGAACTTGAGACCGCACCCCCAACAGGCCAGCTGTCTTGCCTCTCCTCTGACGAGCTTCTTCCATCCCAGCTTTTAAAATGAAAACCAGCTGAATAAAAAAGAAATCCTTGAGATTGAGATAGGACTGTCTGCTAGGGATTAAATTTCCTAAGGGCTTTTGCATTTTTAAAGAAGTGATTGCTTCATCCAAATTAAACTGATACAACAGAGATGCTTTCAAGCCAGGAGGTGGTACATTCCTGGTGCCCTTTGCCCACTCTGGCTGGCAGCCCCCCAGTCGGTAGTCACGTGCGAGGAAGAACTCAGGCCGCAGCGGGCCCCCTTCTGTTAACAGACTGCCAAGCTCTCATCTCCAGGCGGTTCTAGACTCATCGGTTGGCTTGGTGTCTGTAACACATTGAAAAGGCAATTCATGTCGTAGAAGGGACAGGAGGCGGGGACCAGGTTCCCCCAGCGATTGTTCCTGTATGACTTTGGTGTACTCTACCTCGTGCTCTAGTAACTGATGTATCTTTCTTATTCCAACTAGAAGTTTGTAAGCTTCCTGAGAGCAAAGTGTCTACTTGCTCCAGAGAGTGCTGAATTTAGGCCCAGGTCGGGTAGAGGATTACCTCAAGTTACATGACTTGTGAGTGGCAGGATCAGAAATAGAAGGCAGATGTCCCCAGGCCATGTACCAGTCTAGGGTTCTTTCCGTTTGACCACTGTTTCAGCTGTATGTTGCTGCATAGCAAACCGCTCCTAAAGTCCACTCCTCGGAACAATCGCACTGCTATTTTTCCATAGGTTTATGAGCCAGGAATTTCGACAAGGCTTGGTCAGGCTGTTCTGTTCTGCGTGATGGTGACAGGTCACTTACTGAGCTGGTGCAGATGGGTGGAGCTGACAGGTCCAGTACGACGTCATTCACGTGCCTAGAACTCAGAGATTCTCCTGCAGCTGCTTTCTCTCCAGAGTTTCTCTCCTCTCTTTCAGTTTTCTAGCCTGAACTTCTTTACAACATAGTAGCTGTCTTCCTCTAGTGAAAGCAGGAGTCAGCAGGCCTCTTGCACTAGCCCCCAACTGGCACAGTTGATTTCTGCTGCATTCTGTGGATCAAGGCAAGTCACGAGGCCAGTCCAGGTTTAAGGGGAGGAAGGACTTGATGGTGCCAACTTTAGAAACTAACTACAGCTACCATTTAGTCAACACATGCAGTTTTCTTGTTCCTGCAGTGCCTGATAGCACAGGGAAATTCAGCGGAAACAGGGCAAAAAGAATAATACCCCGAAACACCCCATCCTTTTCCACCTTAAAGCCCAGCCAAAGTGTCAGGAAGGCGACACCACCCACCCACAGGCTCCTGTGCTCTGGCTGCATTTGCCTGTCTTTGCACATCAGAGGAGAGGCTGCAGCACGTGGTGGGATCTATAAAGACCATGGTGAGGGCCTGCGTTAGCCCACAGTGGGCACTTCTCAGGAGTTTGTTTGGCAGAGCTACTGCTCTGTTTTCTACGGCAGGCATTTGGATGCACGTTCCTAAGGGCTTATCCTCCGGACACCTGTTAGAAACAGTACTTTTCAGTGCTGTGTGTGTGCTGCTAAGACAGAACATGCCTCCAAGTTACCTTTTCAACTGTTCATTTCCATCTATATGTCAGATTATACTCAGCCCCCTACGAAAAGCATATCTCGGCAGTAGGTTTCTCTCCCCTTCTTTTTAACGACACAGGATTTTTATGTGAAAGGACAAGCGTCTAAAACTGAAAAACCCATTTTCTAGCCTATTCCACCTCTAGCAACATCTCTGCTTTGTATTCTAGCTTAGTTTAAAATTTCCTACCTAATAAGGCTAATTCTCTTTCTCTGAGAAAGACTCCCTTCTTTAATTAATTCTTTAATTCTAAAGAATTAGAATTAATTCTTTAGAATTAATCTTCTAAATTTTCTTGGGAAATTTTTTACATGTATCTTCTTTTCTTCCTTTAAAAAAAAAAACAGACTTTTTTCCTTTTGTTACAGTTAGGTTGACTCCACCATTTAGATAATTACTCAACCCAGGGTATTTTTTGCCAGAAACAGTCAAATAAATAAAATGTTCCAGTGGCCTATCAAGAGGAAATGTAAGAGCAGCTGTGTATGGGCTACAGGGACCGAACTTTCCCAAGTGCTCTGGGGAAATCTCACTCTTTAAAAGACAACATTGTCTGGAAAGTGATGAGATTTGTCTTGTACAAATGGAAATCTCTGGTTTCCCATATGTGTGTGAGAGAAAATGTAATGTGTTTGTACCAGCTGCCTGGGGGATATGGTTCACCGAAATCCACTTTACTCTCCCAGTCTGTGGGGCTCAATAGTTGTGGAAGATATTATCTGTACTTTTTTATACAAGGTTGTATGGGTAGACATTTATGCATGGCGCAAAACTAGCATTCAGTTAGGAAAAGTCCAGGTTTTTCCCGACCCCCATACATACCCTTTCTCTGTTTTGTTCATAGTGGTAAGGATGGGTTCACTCTTGTTCATTTGCTCTTTTGTTTTGGCTGGGACAGAAGACATTGTTCCTCTTTAAAATAGTTCAGATCACTGGAGAACACTGGGGATTGTATTAGATTTTTTATAAAAATTTCCCTATCCTACCCTCTTCATTTTAGGAAGAAGATTTAGAAGCCCAAATTTCTTTCCTTCAAGGACAGCTGAACGACCTGGATGCCATGTGCAAGTACTGTGCAAAGGTGATGGACACGCATCTCGGTGAGTAACTCCTCTGGCCCTGGGAGGGGCGGCGGTCACGGGAGGACCGGCAGCTGGGCTTTCGTTCGGCCGTTACTGTGAATTGTCGCGTGAAATCTTCACAGCAGCCCTCGTTACTGTTCTCATTGTACAGCTGAGGAAGCTGCAGCACGGAGAGATTAACAATATTTCCCAAGATTTATATCACTAGTAAGTGAAGTAGAAATTCAAAATCAAGCAGTCTGAGTATAGATTTCAACTCTTAACTGCAACCCTGCCCTTTGTATCTATCTGCTTCAAAGCGAAATAGGATGTTGGGCTTTCAAGGTCAGTCTCTTCTACTGTTGTGCCAACCTGGCTGTAATCACTAATGTGATTGTATAGACACTGCTTGCTTTATTATATTTTTAAATATGTTTTTAACCATACCCTGGCTGGTATAGCTCAGTGGATTGAGCTCAGGCCTGGGAACCAAAGGTCCCCAGTTTGATTCCCAGTCAGGTCACTTGCCTGGGCTGCGGGCCAGGTCCCCCTTTGGGAGCATGTGAGGGCCAACCACACATTGATGTTTCTCTTCCTGTCTTCCTCCTTTCCTGCCCCTCTCTCTAAAAAATAAATAAACAAAATCTTTTAAAAATAAAAATAAAAATAAAATACGTTTTTAACCAGCCCCTGAAATACACGTCAGGACCACATGATCTTTTCTTACTTCTGACTATGCGTACAGTGTAAGAAATGTCATAGTGTGCCATGATTGGTGAAACTCGGTTGGTTGGACATCGTCCCCCAAGAAAAAAGGTCACTGGTTTGATTCCCCGGTCAGGGCGCATGCCTGGGCTGTGGGTTTGTCCCCAGTAGGGCGCACATGAGGCAGCCGGTCAATATCTGTCACACATCAGTGTTTCTCTCCTTCTCTCTCCCTCCCTTCCCCTCTTTCTAAAAGTTAATAAGTAAAATCTTTTAAAAAAAATCAAAAATAAAAAAGTGTTCTAGTGCACGTGTGGCTCATACATATGTCACATTAGAAAACCTTCAGCCACTGCTCTCAACATTTGTCAAGCTTTGTGCTTTCTGTTGGAAGTGGCCCCGGCCGGATCACCTATGTGTGAACTTCAGTAACTCCGTGCTGCCCACCGAAGCTTTTATAATTCACGTTGTTACTCTTTCCAGCCCACGTGTGGACAGTCTTACTCCCCATGTGCAGTGTCTGGCATCTGTAGTTTGGGAACCAGTTAAGAAAATAAGACATGTACTGTAATGGAAATGGCATATACGCTGCTCCACGACTGGAGAGTGGCAATACCTAGTATTGTAAGAAATCAGGATGCACCCCACCTATGAGGGGAAACCGGAGAGAATCCACCAACGTCCCTTCCCACTGACAGGGACCCTGCGAGTGGGCCGTCCCTGGGCCATCATCGTGGGTGGACTTTCTACTTTGGGCTCCATCAGTCTCTCAGCCTGTTAGGTCATCAGTCCATTGCATGTGGCCAGGACAGCTGTCATTTGGCTGTTGCCTAAACCATCGCTGCTGCCTCTGGCAAGTACTGATAATACACGTTCTCTTATGAATGGAGAGAGATGCTGACCTAAGTGGCTGGTTGCCTGCCAGTGTCCTGTTTCTACTCGCTTGACCACTGCTTCAGAGAAAGGGTTCAAGAGGGAGGAAAGAGCAGGAGAAACCCTGGCAGCGGATGAAAAGGGTAGTATCTCTGATCACAGCAAGAAACCCTGTCACATCCGATTCCACCCCTTCAAAACTATATTTATTATGCTTCTTTATGACCATTTTTATATAGAATTAAGTTTATGTGAACCTCATGGCATCATACTTTAAAATGTATTAAAAAGAAGTAATGAAGATGCCCTGGCTGATGTGGCTCAGTGGATTAAGTACTGGACTCAAACCAAAGGGTCACTGGTTCACCTGAAACACCAATCCAAAAGAACCTATGCACCGCAATGTTCATAGCAGCACAATTTACAATAGCCAGGTGCTGGGAGCAACCTAGGTGCCCATCAGTAAATGAATGGATCAAAAAATTGTGGTCCATATACACAATGGAATTCTATGCAGCAGAGAAAAAGAAGGAGCTCCTACCCTTTGCGACAGCATGGATGGAACTGGAGACCATTATGCTGAGTGAAATAAGCCAGGCAGTGAAAGACAAATACCATGTGATCTCATCTTTAACAGGAACCTAATCAACAAAACAAACAAGAAAAATATAACCAAAGACACTGAAATAGAGAACAGGCTAACAGTGACCAGAGGAGAGAGGGGAGGGAATTTCAGGGGAAAGGGGAAGGGTTTGCAGGAACAAGTATAAAGGACACATGGACAAAAACAAAGGGGGGGGGGCCTGGGGGGGGGGCTGGGATGGGAATAAAAGAAAACTGTAATGAACAACAATTAAATTTTTTAAGTCTAAAATAAAAAGTTAAAAAGAAAAACAAACAAAGGGTCACTGGTTCAATTCCCAGTCAAGGCACATGCCTGAGTTGTGGGCCAGGTCCCCAGTAGAGAGCATGCAAGAGGCAACCACACATTGATGTTTCTCTTCCTCTCTTCCTCCCTCCCTTCCCCTCTCTCTAAAAAGAAGTAAATAAAATCTAGAAAAAAAGAAGTAATGAAGAAATAGTTTATATATAAATGGCTAACGTGTCTTACATAACTCATTTTAGTTCATTAATCTTAATATTTAGTGCGTGTATATGTGCATGTGTGGCTTTGGTGTTTTCTCGATCTCCTGGGTGCATGGTAGACCTTTTCATCACTCGAGTTTGGTTCTCATCACAGTAGGAGAACCAAAAAGTGACAGAGAGAAAGATTTACTGAAACTCTGAAAATCCCCTTAGGAAACTTCCAACTTGTTGGTCCACATAGCGGCTTTTAAAGCAGCTTTCCTTAAGCCTCAGAATTTTCCAACGGCCTTTGCTCTCGTTTTGGTCTTCCAGTGAGCACCAGCAGCATTTGCACATGGCTCGGGAGGGGGCGCACTTCAACTAGAAGAAAGCCCGTACAAGCTGTGGATTTTCAGCTAACCACAAAACTAGATTTGTTTTGGGGTGATTTCACTTTCAGCCAGAGTCCCTCCACCCAGCCGTGCCTTCTCTGTGCCACACAGATGCCGTGACCACATTTTTTAAGTGGGGCAAGGGACACGACAAGAATTCCTGACCCAGGGGCCCACAGACACAGTTCTTTTTGTCTACGTGTTGGAACATTGGTTTACTAAAGGTTGTTCTTGCATTGCAGGCAATTTGGATTCTGAGCAGAAATTTTAGGGATACACAAAGATGAATTAAGATGAAGCTCTTGATTTACTTTTTGACTTATTATTCTTCAAAAATGACTTTAATACCCTGGCATTTTTCCATATGATGTTTTCAATCTTTCCTGATTATTCAAGTATTATAAAATTGAAACAAATGAAATAGCCATTGGAAAATGATTAAGTATAATTTAGATATACAGTCTTTGTAAAGATTAAATGAAAATACTTTTATTTTCATTAAATAAGGGGATGCTCATGATATATTACTAAACCACAAGGGCAGGTGGCAGAATTATGCACCGTGTATTTGATGTGGAAATAACTGGTAACAGCGATTGCCTGAGTGAGGGGAAGATTAGGTGCTTTCCAAGGCACCTAATCTTCTATGCTTGGAAAATGCAAGACAGTCACTGAAAATCTGTAGACAGTTTAAGTGCATGTAACTAACACCTGGGTGGGGTGGGGGGGGGGGGTCAGTCGTCCTATTGCAGGCGAGAGTCAGCTGTCAGAGCCCTGGAGTGGTACGGCGGGCGGAGAATGCTTCATGTGGCATCAAACAGATGCAGGGTTATAACCAGGCCCTGTCACTTCTTAGCTCAGCCTGGTGATGATTGGATCCTCTTATATAAAGTGCAGATAAAATTATCTATCTTGCCAGTTGACTGCCAAGATAACATGTATTTTAGAGTCCAGCACAGGGCATAGCCCAGAGTGGGTATCAACACAAATCCTTTCCTCACTCCCCTTAACTCTTGACAGCCCTTCTCAGGGAGCATCCTGAGTGACTAGTCCAGCTGTGACCAGAGGCTAAGCAGCCACTTGTCTCAGGCCCCACAACTACTCTGTGGAAGAGCTGGGACCAGCGCCGCATTTCCCGACACCTAACGCATGTTCCTTTATCAAAGGATGCTAAAGGGTGCTGGGGTTTGCATGTGTGGACTCTAGGATCATGTGCGTGAGCCCGTGAGCGAGGACACCGAGTCAGAACTGATGACGCACGGGCGCAAGCATGGCCGACCCCCGCCCTGCGCTGGGCCACGGTGTGAGCTGTGGGCCCTGCCTCTGAAACTTCCTCCAGTGTTAATGATGTCCCCAAAGTTCCTTTCATTTCTAGAGAGTTCTGTATCACCCTACACTTTCTTCAGACATGTAGTAATAATTTTAAAATGTCAAGTATGGCTCAAGACTATTATTATAACTGATAGAACAAATAGAGAAGAAAGCCTCTCAGTTAAAAGTTATATAAAGGCATTTATTCAAATTGTCCCTTAATTAAGGATGATTTGACAGGTTAGAAGTATTTCCTTATAGATCTGGAATCCACAACTGAAAGAGTATTTGTTTTATCAAAATTCTAATTTTATTACCTCCACAGAATTGAACTATTTGAATTCGAAGATTTAAAGACAAGAATTAAAAATAAGTGTTTTATGAGATCTAAACTTTTCCCGTCAGTTTCAGAAGACTTTCTGTGTTCATTTTTTCTGTTGCCATAGTAACTCCCTTTCTTGTCACCCTCATAGTTGAGTTGAGAGACACTGACAGCACTGTATTAATCCCCGGGGCTGAGCTTGGGCTATTTTTAGAGTTGCCGCACTTAACACGCAATTGCACGTGGGCGAGCAGCCTGCACTTCCCTGATCTGTGAGCAGCTGGGCTGAGCCGCCAGCTGTTTGCAGAGCCTGAGCTGCTCACCCTGCTGACCGCCAGTGCCCACACCTGCCTGCTCCCAGGGGCGGTATT